GGGGGGGGGGAAATATGTTGGTGCATCTTCACCCCAAATAGAAGTCTGGCCACAGCATTTTGTACCATCTGAAGTTTCCGCGTCAATCTCAAAGGCAGCCCCATGTAGAGCGCTTTACAGTAATCCAATCTTGAGACTACAAGCACATGGACCAAAGTGGTGAGTGCCCCCACATCAGGATAGGGATGCAGCTGGGCAATCCGCCAAAGATGGAAATGTGTGGAACAGACCACTGACAACACCTGGGTCTCCATGGTGAGCACCGGGTCCAGATGTACACCCAAGCTGCGAACCTCACTCTTGGTGGTAAGAGTCACCCCCCCCAAAAGAGAGGGGGTTTCCCAGGCCACAGATGTCTGGGGCGTCCACCCGAAGAACCTCCCAGATTCAGCCTCAGTCCGTTCTCCTGCGACCTCCCAGATTCAGCCTCAGACTGTTCTCCTGCATCCAAGGCTGGAGTTTATCAAGCAAATAAAAGGACATATGGACTTCTTTTTCAAACAGAACATGAGGCCAGAAACACCAATGACAATGGTTTGGGAGGCAAGTAAGGCATTTTTAAGAGGAGAAGCCATAAGATTTGCATCAAAACAAAAAAGAGAAAGACAAAAAATAGTCATAGTCTCATAGTCTGCCACTTCCTCCCAAACTGTCACTTCTTGCTCCACCCACTTTTCTCTTTTCGTCTCCTCTGTTAAACAAACCTCCGTCTTTCCCGCTCTTTCTCCACTTTTCTCTTTTCGTCTCCTCTGCTAAACAAACCTCCATCTTTCCTGCTCTTTCCTTTGATTCTAATTCTCCCGCCTCTGTTTTAACTGCCACCTCTTCCTCCTTTGGTGTTTCTCCGTATTTCTCTTCTTCTCCTCCTTCTATGGCCTCTCACTTTCGTACTCTGCTCCTTCACATCTAATTTTCACATTTTAAATCCACACTGCAAGACCCATCAGAACACAGAAACATAACCCCCAGCCCAAACCCATGCTGCAAAAACTCTGTAAACTATATACAGTTTGAGTACCCAGAACAGGCAGTCTCTCTGTTTTACAAAAGAAATTTTAAAAATCCAAAAAGCAAAAATTTTTAAAAGCCCCCAAAAATACAGTACAGTACAGTACAGTCCCAGGCAGTCTGAAGTCTTTCTCCGAACCCACACTCTCTAACCACTGGGTCGAAAGAGGTACAGAGCAGCATCCTTTTTGCTGCCCAACAGTTAACTGAAAGCAGTTCAAATTTCCCACTTTCCCTGCCTTTCCCCTCCTTTTTTTCTGGTCGTAAGTTGAAGCTCCAGTCGCAAGTCGAAGCTAAATTTTTCGACCAGATCTGGTCGTAACTCAAAATGGTTATAAGTTGTCATGTTCGTAAGTCAAGGCATCATTGTACCTCATGACTCTGCCTCCACGTTTGTAAGTCGAGGCATCATTGTACCTCATGACTCTGCCTCTCCATCACTGCCATTGGTCTATGCAAATAGCATATGAATATTCATGACCTGGGCAACTGCCACAGAGAGTATTCAGAAGTAGTTTACCATTCCTTTCTTCTTGAGGTGTCCTGGGACTGTGTAGCTTGCTTAAGGTGCACAGGTTGGCTGTACTTGTAAGAGGTGCAGTGGGGAATTGAACTCCCAACCTCCAGCTCTGTGGACAGATTCCTGCCCTACTGAGCTATCCAGTCAGCACATACAAAAAGAATGTGTGAGAAATGGCCCTCAGAATAGTTGACCACCAGGCAAGTTTTTTTTTTAAGAAGACTGTTAAGTTCAAGGTTTGACAACGTTTTAATATTATTTGCTATTTTATTATTGTTGGTCTTGATTGTATTTTTTTGATAATGAATTTTTAACCAACATCCATGCATTTCTAGATTAGATTAGGCATCCTTCAGTCTCAAGAGACTATGGTAACGTGCTCTGAATAGAGGACTTGGAACAGCATCTAGTGTGGCTGAGGAGGCCGATTCAAGAGTGACAATCCTTTCCACACCGAAGACAAATACAATCTGTCCCCCTTCCAGCTCCCTGATTTTGCTGGTTTGGGGACTGCCTCTTTGCCATGGCCTGCTAAACAAGTGTATCTTCAAATTGGGAGAGGCCATGCTGCATCTCCAGCCTCCAGGCTGAACGCTCAGAGGTCAGGGTTTCCCATCTGTTGAGGTCTATTCCTAAGGCCTTCAGATCCCGCTTGCAGATGTCCTTGTATCACAGCTGTGGTCTCCCTCTGGGGCGATTTCCCTGCACTAATTCTCCATACAGGGGATCTTTTGGAATCCAACCACCAGCCATTCTCACGACATGCCCGAGCATTTTTAAAGATTAGGAACTGAAAATGATTATTCTGAAAGTTTCACAGAAAGAGGGAGAAAATTGCAACCATAATCTGTTACAGCGAACGCAGGAGGCAATTTGAAAATTAACAGAGGTATGTAAACACAGTGGAGCAACGATTAGATACATAGTGGATACCTGTTAGATAAAAGTCTGAGCTCTCTTAATCAAACTTATATTTTTTTTCCTCCACAACCATTTTGTTTGCCCTGAAATTAGGAAGTCATAGAACTGGCCCCATTTTTATCTCTGGCCTTCTCCAAGGAGCTCAGAATTAGATGTTTCCTTCTTTCCCTTTCACAGGAATCCAGTCACGTTTGGAAATCGAGTTAATATTTCAGCCCAACACGCTCTCCGCCCCATACTCGGGCATTTTAGGGAGCGTTTTCACAAACTTTTCTAAGAATCCTTCGGTTGCGCGCCATTAATATCATTTTTAATGAGCTGCACGTGGCAAAGAGCTTAAACAACGTGCATTAGAGCACCTGAGGAATTTGTTTAAAACCGGGGCGCCTCCCTGGTTTCTGCTTCACAGAGCCATAAACAAACTGACATAGGAAAATAAATTGGCGAGCATGTTTTAATTATTGGATCACGTGTGTGGGGGGAGAGAGCTAGGGCAGGGCAAGTGCACTTTTGTGAGCGCCTCATCTCTACAGATACGTCGTGTTTCGTCGGGTTTTGCGACCAGTTTCTGGAGGGAAGGCTGGCCATTATGAGAGAAGGCGGGCGAATGGGTGGTGGTGATGATGGAGAGGCATAAATTGGCCAGGAGGCCGCCCGCAAGGGAGCAGCCCGGGTGGCGGTCCCAAGGCAGAGGCGCTGCCCTGAGGAGCGAAAGAGCATGCAGGCAGCGGCGTGGGTGCTTCTGCTGGGCTCGGTGCTGACCCAGTGCGGTTCTGAGGGAAAAGGCCAGCCGGTAAGCATCGGTGGTGGCGGCGGTGAGGAGGCGCCCGCTGCTCTTTCTGCCCATAGGTTGGTCTTGGGGGTCACCGCTCGTCTTCCCTCCGCCTCCCTCCCAGGCAGAAACTCAAGAGGCGGTGGGAAAGGTGGCGGCCCTAGCATTTTTGTAGTCGGTGGACGCTGGGCTGCTGAGGCAGCTGCGAAAATGCCTCCGTGAACCTTCGCGACTCGTGAACCTTCGCGGGGGTTGACTCGTCTTCCGCGCCCGCCTCGAACGGGCTGTCCTCTTCTTATCGGCGTTGGAAGCAAGAGGTTACCGTTCAGCACTGGGTCGAGGTATTCCGCCTTGCACGGGGGAGAAAGGGTGATCGGGTGAGGCGAAATGTTGGACCATCCCTGACACGCCCTGGCATCGCTCAATAGGTGTCGTTTGAGCTAGCATCGCTTCCCACTTCATGCGGGGGGGAGGGAAGGGCAGGGGGCTGGTTTGTGTGGATCCTCTCCCGTCTTTCTCAGAGAGGAGGGGCGTTGAAGTCGGGGGTGAAGCAAGTCCTCTCTTGAGGAGCGAAGACATTTCTCGTCCGATGAAATTCTGATATGCAGCGGTTTTCTTTCTCCTAGGTAAGTCCCTTTAAGGAAAGGTGGCATCTCACGTGAGCATGTCCGCGATATATTGCCTTGTAGGATTTACCATTAGGCAAAACGAGGCAGCAGGCTTAGGTTGCATGTTTTGAGTGTCATATGATGACAATAATTTAGTTTTTTGTGAATTGTTATTGCCAGGGAGAGGAATAGAGGTGGATTTTTCTGCCTCACCTAATGAAATAACTTGGCTGGTTTTTGGTGCTAGGTACTTTTGCCTGATAGGGACGTGGTGGCGCTGCGGGCTAAACCGCAGAAGCCTGTGCTGCAGGGTCAGAAGACCAAGCAGTCGTAAGATCGAATCCACGCGACGGAGTGAGCGCCAGTCGCTTGTCTCAGCTCCCGCTAACCTAGCGGTTCGAAAGCATGTAAATGTGAGTAGATAAATAGGGACCACCTCGGTGGGAAGGTAACAGTGTTCCGTGTCTAAGTCACACTGGCCATGTGGCCACGGAAGATTGTCTTCGGACAAAACGCTGGCTCTATGGCTTGGAAACGGGGATGAGCACAGCCCCCTAGAGTCGAACACGACTGGACAAAATTGTCAAGGGGAACCTTTACCTTTACCTTTTTTTTACTTTTGCCTGAGGCAGCAAAATAGTTAGGATCAGCTCTCATATCAATTCTTCTGTAACCCCAGTAATTTTCTTCTTCAGACCCAATAATCAGACTCATTCATCTCTTCCCGTGCTAATTTTTCCAAAGCTCATAAATGTGTGCTGCTGCCAGAGACAGAGCAAGCATACCCATCCATCAAAGCACTCAGGACCCAAAGTCACCCAAGTTATTTTAATATATAAGAAAAGATCAGGCAAGCACTTTGTCCCAGTCCTGACATTAAAAATGCAACATTTCCAAAGTAGAGAAATATCATTTTGCTGCTTCTTACTGACATCCAAAATCTGCTGTCTGAGACCTTGCAATTAGTAATCCCTTGACATGCTCACTCAGAGTATTGATATCTTAAACTTTAAGACATTCCGCCTTGACTGCACATAAAAAAATAACACACTTAAACAAGTCACAGTGGCCCAGAAGAGTCACAGTTTACAGTATTCATACTAGCCAGGTTTGAAAACAAAACAGTTGTGAGTTTTGTGCATCTAGGACAGTGGTTCCCAATTTTGACTAACCCAGGAGTTCTTGGACTGCAACTCCCAAAACCCCTGGGCAGCAGAGCTAGTGGTGAAGGCTTCTGGGAGTTGCAGTCCAAGAATACCTGTGTTACCCAAGATTGGAAATCACTGATCTAAAAGAAACCTTTAAGATTCTAACACCATATCTCCTAAGAAATGGGAGTTCAGTGAAAGGTGGTCCTAATACTGGATTGTATAGCCTAACAAAAGAGTTAAAGTTGTTAGTTCATAGTTTATACTCATATTCAGAATGCCTAAGAATGCTCACCCTGCATTTTCACAAAAGTTTTTTTCATAGTTAAACCTTCAACTGAATGTATGCCCTTAAATTAATAAATTTGAAGTGAACTCAGAATTTCTGCAAGTCTAAACTCTCACACAAATTGTGAGAAAGTACAAGATGCAGTGGAAGCTTTCATTTGACATGAAATATGAGTAGTATTGGAAGGGCAGTACTTTGCATGTTTACTCATATATGCTCCCATCTTAGCAAATATAGGGTTAATTAGCTAGATCAATATGTTTGGACACTTTGAGTCAATTTAAATGGAGGCCTGATTAATTTACACACTTACCATTAACACAAATGCTTACAGCAAAATGTCACCATCAAGCACTATATTGTAAAAGGAAGCCCTCAGAAAGTACCACCTGCAATGCTACATGACTAATTTTCTGTCTTTTAACAGCAGCTGAATTATTATTTTTTTTAAAAAGCAGAGATGTGGGTTTTCTAGGAATTTTGAAATAGGAAGGGTTTTTTAATGCCCTAATTCTTTCATTCAATCAATCAACTTCAATGTCACCCATCTGGCTACAAGGCCACTCTGGGAAAAAAAGCAGAGATGTGGGTTTTCTAGGGATTTTGAAATAGGAAGGTTTTTTTTTTGATGCCCTAATTCATTCATTCATTCAATCAAATTCTATATCACCCATCTGGCTACAAGGCCACTCTGGGCAGTTTACAATAAAAAAGATAAAGACACAAAATAAAAACATACGTCAAATTACAACTATCGATAGTGGATATTAACTCAAAATTAAGCAAAATCAAACACAAATAAAAATTAAAAAATAGAACATACACCATAGAAAATCAACACAGAAAATTAAATAATTAAGAGGTGAGATGGTGGAGCAGAAACAAACACTGGAGGGTGAAATGTCAATGTGTTCTGGTGTAGTGTGTGGAATAGTTGACTATTTGTAGCTGTGGGATCAGCTTTTTGTCCTTTTCAGGAGATGGGTGTTTATGGTGATCAGGGTGTTTTTTGTTATGGGTGTATTGTTGTGATAAGGGGGAAGATGATCTGTCACTGTGATTGATGAGTGTCATTAGCTAGTCTTTTGTGTGCAGTGATTACCAGTCCTTGTGGCTGGGTAGAGTTCATTGACCTTTTTGCAGGCTGCATTTTTCAGTGCTGTGAGCCAAGCTTCATTGAGTTTTAGATGAAACGTTGGCAAGAAAAACCTCCAGAACATGTCCACGTTGAGTTTTAGATGAAACATTGGCAAGAAAAACCTCCAGAACATGTCCAAGCAGCCCAAAAAACCTACAACAACCATCATACCCCGGCTGTGAAAGCCTTCAAGAATACATTGAACCATTGTATGTAGGAGTGGATTAACTAACTGCCAAGAGCAGAAGGAATTGCCTCATCCATCTGAGAGTAGTAGGTTACTATTAAGGGTGGGACTGGGCCCATAAAATGTAGGAGTGAATGGAAACAATGGTCACCATATTTAAAAAGAGCAACACAGGTTGGCTGTGGCCAAAATCCTACTGCAAAAAATCATATGGTGATTGCAAAATCAGTCCTGTGCCTAGTCTGCCACAGACAGCATAGCAAAGGTAGGAACAATTTTTGCAATTAACATTGCACATGCTTCTTTTCCCAATAGGATGTTAGCCTTTATGTCTGCAGCCATTGGGTACAGAGAGTGGTTCCTGGCAGGATGGCCTAGATTACCCACAGTCATGATCAATGATGCCACGTTTGTGGCACTAACTTGATGTGGGTTGATGGATCTTACAGTTTTAAACTGGATGAAAAAAATGGTTTTTCGTCACATTTTGTGCAGCGTGAAAATATGGTTCAATGAATGTTGTCACTATGCTGTAATCAAGGTGGGCCTCAATGATGCCATGTTTGTGAAGGCCTGCGCACTAACTTGATGTGGTTTAATGGATCTTACAGTTTTAAACTGGACAAAAAATGGTTTTTCGTCACATTTTGTGCAGCGTGAAAATATGGTTCAATGAATGTTGTCACTATGCTGTAATCAAGGTGGGCGTCCTCTGGTGTGCTAACCTGTATACCCAGATAAATGTCTCCCTTTAGAAGATATGATGCCATTCCATCACAGTGTCACCACACTTTACTGCTGTATTTTTCTGTTTACTTGACATAAACTGATGGAAAGAATATTCACCTGACTTATTGATTTTCAATTTATTGATTAGGTCTAATACGTCATCTCTTTTAACCTGTATCTGAGGAAAGGGAAAGGGCTGAACTTCTCAACACCTTATTTGCTTCAGTTTTCTCCAAAAAGAAAAATAGTGCTCAACCTGAGGGGTGAAGAGTAGGGGATGTAGTGGGGAAAATGCAGTACAGAATAGGAAGATAAGTAGTAAAGGAATACCTGGCTACTCTAAACTGTATCTGAGAGAAAGGCTGAACTTCTCAACACCTTCCTTGCTTCAGTTTTCTCCGAAAAGAAAAATAGTGTTCAACCTGAGGGATAAAGAGTAGGCGATGTAGTGGGGGAAATGCAGCACAGAATATAGGGGATGTAGTGGGGAAAATGCAGTACAGAATAGGAAGATAAGTAGTAAAGGAATACCTGGCTACTCTAAATCACTGGTTCTTAACCTTGGGTTACTCAGGAGTTTTGGACTGCAACTCCCAGAAGCCTTCACCACCAGCTGTCCTGACTGGTGTTTCTGGGAGTTTCAGTTCAAAAGCATCCGAGTAACAAAGGTTAAGAACCACTAAGATAAGTAGTACAGGAATACCTGGCTACTCTAAATGAATTCAAGTCTCCAGGATATTAAAAGAACTGGCAGAAGTAATTTCAGAAGCATTGAGAATTCTTGGAGAACAGGAGAAGTCTCCACTGATTGGAGGAGGGCAAATGTTGTCCCTATCTTCAAAAAGTGAAAAAAAAAGAAGACTCAATTATCGCCCAGTCAGCCTGACATCAATTCCTGGAAAAATTCTAGAACAGATCATTA